TTGGATGTATATTATTTTGTTTCCCATTAGTGTGGGAGAGCTAGGATTGATGTAGAACAAATAAGTCATATGTCATGTACATACATATCATGAGTATGAACTTAACAGTCCACTAACTCCCTACCACGGAGTACATACATAGTGATGGAGATTATTGTCACATAACCCAAGAGTCAAGTAATTGATGATCCAAAATTGGGATACGTGCTACTCACTCAATAGGTTGAGGCTTAGTGTAAGGCTAGCAACGTAGTCTAGGCCCGACAATTCGTCAATGAGCGTGTCTTACAATGGGCATAGTCATCGATTCTCTAAGATTCTACAACAACACTACTTGTCATTGTCGAGCATACCTCGTCTTGGGTGTTTCAATCACGCACATACTCCCTCCGTCCTTAATAACTTTGCCAAGTTTGACCGGCACGGGAATTAATAAAGTAAAAACTGTGTGGTTGAGGTTTGTGCAGAGGAGAGAGAATTAACTGGAACCACAAATTCTTTACTTAAATGGGAAAGTGGCAAAGTTATTGGGACATCCAAAAATGGAAAGTTGGCAAAATTATAAGGGACGGAGGGAGTAAAAGGTTTATGTTTTAACCGCTCATGCTAACATCATGTCAATTCCTAAGGGCTGACATTTTCAATGACAACATTATCTCGTTCCCAAGGGTTGACATCATTATGCATCTCCCAGGCATCACGATTAGTGTCACAGGCGTGTTCCCCGAGACTTTTGAGGGATAATTGTCACTACCTTATTAGCTAGCATATTTGAGCTTAGACCCCAAGCCTTGTATTTCACCAATGAGCAAATGATCCCAATTATTGTTTGTAGTGTTATTATGTTAAAATTAATACACAACTTTTTTGCTATAGACATGCTTCAATTTCTCTCTAGTTTTTCTACCGTCCCTAGTTCCATAACCCATCACAAAGATTTTTTTTACCCATCGCATAATTATACCCATTTATACAAAAATAAAATATATTATACAAGTAAATTTTCATTGGGAATTGTTTGTAGTGATAGACTATGGGGGTGTCTTGTGAACCCCCGGTCTCACGACTATTGGGTGAGTCATCCGTTAAAAGATTCCCAAAAGCGCACATTTGGCGGATTCAAACTACGAACTTGAGTGACAAGTTGAACTAGATTATCAATTTATTATCATTATGTTTTCAATAGTGTGTATTTTTTATATTGAAAAAATGGACTTATGAATTCCGAGCACTCACGTATGCCGGCAGAGTGCTGAAATCTCACATCACCGAGCCACGTCATACGAGTGTGCCGATAATAAGCACCCAATCCAAATGCTATCTAATGCACACTCCAGTTTCTAATGTACGAGTGTATGAGTTATCTAAGCTCCCACGTTTTGTGTGATATGTAATGCACCCTAACTACCAGAGTCACATTCTAGCTTAGATGCGAGCCACGCTCCAATTAAGCATAGAAATCTAGTGTGAGCTCTAGCTTGAAAATTTGACGTCACTTAATGGAGGCCCAAATCCAATAACGAATCATAAGCTCAAGAAATGATAACAATTTAATTTGAATGCATAGGAGAAATTCAATGATGACTTGGATTTTATATCGGCCTCTCTACCATACTTTCTAATCATCTTTATTTGATGACCCGGACATCACATTGTGGACGATCGCTAGACCTACCTCTTAGTCATCTTTATTTGACGACTAGGACTAATTATCGTGCCGAACTACTCACGTACGAAGACCAGTCTTAGCCATCCCCTCATCAGATGGTAGCCATTGCAGCTTCACACCTAGGTCGAAGGTTTCACCCTTTTGTTCCATTTTGGGGGCATTCGGTATACTATTTTACCCTCATTAGGACTTTTTCCCACACAGTTTTTTCCTAGTGAGGTTTTTAACTAGGCAGCTCCCCATTATGGACAAAAGGTGTCCACCATCGGCCCCTTGTTAGAGTCATCACGAGACATGCACTACTCCACTCCTTTTCACCTCACTACATTTGCCTCAAGGAGTAGGGGACTCTAAGAGCGGGGGACTCAACGCCTTCGTTATCTGAAGAAGCATAAATTCAAAATTTTCACAAGGTTTGCCACATGCACCGACGACAGATCATCACTCAGTTCTACTCCCTTTCGCCTCGGGTACAATTGACTCGGGGAGGGGGCTCGTGATAGAGTATATAGACTCGGACCCCTGGTCTCACGACTATTAGGCATGGACAGCAGCCCACACACGCTTAATGGATATCATTCATATTATTGTACATTGTTACGGAGCATTATTCAGATGTTCTAGATTAGCCTTTTACTACCTCCGTCCCTTTTTAGTTTGCCAACTTTGACTTTTCTAGTCAAAGATGATAAACTTGGAACTATTATTTTAACTAATATATTTATGTAAAAGTTAATAAATTTATACTTTTATGATAGTATTTTCAATAAAGAACATTTTCATATAATTTTTTTATTATCAATATTACCGTGTATAAATATATAATCGGTCAAAGTTGAACAACGTTGACTTGAAAATTTGTGTTTGGCAAACTAAAAAGGGACGGAGGGAGTATGTTATCTGTCCTTTTATGTAACAGGGTCTGTCAGGCCCATATTAGAGGCCCAGAGCCGGATTTCTTTATATACTCCTTTTGGAGCTTGTATACCCTAATTCATAATTCATTATTCATACATTCAATACACTATCTTATAAATAAAGTCGTTTCGAGCTCCAAACTCTCCTAAATAATATGTTTGGATACCCCATAATCCATCACGTCGTTTCAGCCAAAAAATGACGGTTTGACCACTTTTAGCGTTTTGTATAAGTGAAAAAGTTGTTTGGTAAATAGTTGTACGAAAATGTTGAAATGAAAACGCTGCTAATAGGAGAGTTTTGGGTTGGCGTTTTGAAAAATGGAGTTGTCTACTAATTTAATGGACAAACATCTTCTGGCAACCCACCAATTTATTCCGCTAGTCAAACTCGCTAACCGAATCCGCTATTGACAACCCGCTGACATAACATGTTATCCGCTAGCCTCTGAATGTCAAACATGCCCAAATCCTTGAATATATTCTTACTAAATTAATGTACAACATGTGAGAGTGTTTGTAGTGAGACTATGGGGGGTGTTGGTAAACAGCGTTTCAGCTGAAGAATGGCGGTTTGACTACTTTTAGCATTTTGTATCAGTGAAAAAGTTGTTTGGTAAATAGTTATTTGGCATTAGCGCTTTTGGGCAGAAATGCTGAAATGAAAACGCCATAATTGAGACCCAATAATTATCATAGATAGTTTTGGTATTATCATAAACAACATCAATGCCTTTTATGTATTAATATGGATACTAATTTTGGTGGTTTTCCCTTCTTAAAATCAATGTGATGCACTTTAGATAGGTTTGGTATTATCATAAACACCGGTGGGCGTAGCTCAACTGGTAGTGAGGGAGTGTCACAAGGGTTAGGTCTCGGATTTGAATCCCGGCAACTGCGATGAGGGGTTACTATGCTGAAAAATGCATAGGGCTTCTGCAAGTACCGGAGACAGAGCCCACTCTCTATCTGTCAGATTGTGATTATAGTCCAATTTACATCCTCCCATCGTGCCATCCGGTCGGTGTTGGGGGCCCTCAGGGATGTGGTGTCATCTTTTTTTTTTGGTATTATCATAAACAACATCAACGTTTCGATATGGGGTAATTTGAGTTTGCACCCCATATTATTGTCTAAATTGGACTTTCCACCCCGTTTTTATAAATATTTGTTTTTGCACCCCAACTCCATATGAAAAGATAAAAATGCCCTCAATCAGAAATATGTTGAAGGTCAACACAATTGTTAATGGAGGGTCATTTTTGTCTTTTCATATGGGATTGGGGTGCAAAACCAAAGATTTTTAAAAACGGGGTGCAAAGTCCAATTTAGACCATAACATGGGGTGCAAACTCAAATTACCCCTTTCGATATTATTGAGACCCCATAATTAACATAGATAGTTTTGGTATTATCATAAACAACATCAATGTCTTTTATGTATTAATATCGATACTACTAATTTTGGTGGTTTCCCTTCTTAAAATCAATGTGATGCACTTTAGATAGGTTTGGTATTATCATAAATAACATCAACGTTTCGGTATTATTGAGACCCCCTAATTAACATAGATAGTTTTGGTATTATCATAAACAACATCCATGTCTTTTATGTATTAATATCAATACTAATTTTAGTGGTTTGTCCTTAAAATCAATAAAGTGTTCCCGACATTTACCCCATTGATTTTGGTGATTTGAGTTTTTTAAATCAATTCTTTTTTATTCTTTTAATAAATAAGTTTATTTTTAGATGTGTTTTAAAAAGGCGTCCATTTTAAAACTGAATTACAATTAACTCTTTGAGTACATGAAACAGTTACCTTTTTTCTAATTATATTATAGCCTTCTTGATAACATTTTAAACTTCTATTTTCTTCTTTTTTTAATATTAAAAGTAAGATTGGAGAGGCTAGGAAATAGGTTTTTAGTTTTTATAAATAGTTTTGAAATATACGAAGTTCTAAAAAGTGGACCTTATAAATTCATCTTTCACCTCTATAAGAAATTAACTAGTCCATTTTAATAAACAAATTGGAGCATTAATTTCATTATTTAAAGAATGAAGTTAATCTTACGGAAATTCCATGATACGAGTCCAATCAGGTACTCCACACACACACATATCTATGTACTCCTCTAGTCTCATAAAACATGGTCACATAACTCACATTCACATTTCTTGATCAATGATAACCAATGACCAAAAATATCGTTAAAAACAAAATTATTTAAAATATGAAAGTTAAATGAAAATATTCTTTATTATAAATTTCTGACAGATATAATAACTAAAACTATTGTCTAAAGTTTAATGTCGTTGATCTAGAAATGTCTATTTGGCCAAGTTGTTTAGACGGAAAGAGTGTATCAAATTGATTTTAAGAGGATAAAAAAGGGAACCAATACTAGTGTATGAGTCATGACTTGGTAATTTGATTTACTTAAAAGGAAATCTCTGCTTGTTGTCTGTTCGATAACAATAAATATGAGTATTAAACAATATGTCCCTTTTTCAAATAGAGATGAGAACACAATGTTGCTTTGCACAAGTTTAATTAGCTAGCTACAACATGCTCTTAATTCACAGTACATATAGCTAGATAAGTAAACCTAAAATATGCACAGACTGTTATAGTGCAACATTATATTGTTCTCCAAATAGCTTGTTTGAGGGGATTCTTTGCATCTTGATTAATATTGTTGACTGTAACCGGCCATTTTGCACGCATTTTTATTGAAAACATTGCATATATATTCAACAGTTCGACCAAATCATTGAGCCTTAAAAGGTTTATATGTCTTCACATCTGAAGCAAGGCCCTGAATCGAGCCTGCCGCAGCCATAAGGGAGATAACCAAACAAGCCCAACTGAGTATCTTCAGCCAAACCCATGTGAAGGACCACTTGGGGATCTTGGTTTGTGCTATGTACATCTCAATGGGGAAGTAGACTGTCAATGGGTAGAACGAGGCTGCTCCGATCAAGCCCAAGAAGTCATTGAAGAAGGGGAATATCATCGCTATCAGCGCGGTGACAATCACGTAAGACGTCCTCCACACCAACCTGAACCAATTTAAAGGGAATGTACCCAACAACGGAATCCTGATTAAATGTTCAGTCATTACGAATCCGCTAGTCCCCCATCTTCGGTGGCACCGAGACTCAACAAACCCGAATATCGGTTGGCAAAAAACCTGAAAGTTTACAAGTCAAGATTTAGAAGTTATAAATCCATTGAAGTCTCACATCAAACAAGTAAAGAGATAATATCGAGCTCATAAGATTTTGAGCTGAAGTAGCTAACAGATTGAATTAATTCTCTTAGGATAGTTTGATATACTTAACTGCCTTATGACCTAGCTTTATAGTGATAAAATTATTACTCCCTTCGTCCTATTTAAAAGTGTCTCCTTGAATTACACACAATTTTAAAAAATGGCATTGTTTGACACTATTTTGCAATGTGGTTTACCATATAAGGAAAGGGGACATTTTAAGGGATAGAACGAAAGGAAAGCGGATGTTTATTTAGGGACGGAGGAAGTAAGGGCTTGCCTGGTACGCTCCAATGAGATGAATAGCGATGCAAACGTTGGCGAAGTCAATCAACCAGAAGGGCTCATAGAACCCAAACCCGGTGAGGAAGTTGCCCGGGGCTTTGTTTCCAAATGCAGCATAGCCCATGCAACCACACATAACATAGAACAAGGTGGTCGTGGTCACTCCAGCAAATGATGCTTTCTTCATTACCTTGTTCTCTGGTGGGTGTGATCTCAATGTATCCTACAATCAAAATATCAGTATTAGGAACTCTAAAAAAAAATCAGTATTAGGAATAACTAAATCAGTATTTTCAATTTTTCCTATTTATAAGGAAAAATTGCTAGTAATAATCCCAACTATTGATGGTCCGCCAATAATAATCCCAACTATCGATTAATTCAGATTAATCCCAATTTTAGGGACCTTCCACCAATAATGGTCCCTATAAATAAATTCTCGTAGTTTTCTAAAATGGATGAGAAGAGATATAACAAGTAATCCCTATAAATAATCTCAACTTTTAATTTTACGCTTAATTTCTATTTAAAATGCACTTTTTATAGGAGGTAATATATAGTCATGGACCATTATTGGCAGATGGTCCATATAGTTGGGATTATACAAAAATAATCAATAGTTAGGATTATACAAAAATAATCAATAGTTGTGTTTATTATCAGCGGACCAGCAATAGTTGAGATTACTCCGTATTATTTTCAATTTTTCCTATTTATAATTACTGCGGTGTTTGAAATTACTCTCAATTGAGAACATAAAGTTGTCAATTTAATTTCTTACTAGTATAATGCTAAAATATGACACTGTGAAATCATTTTTTTTGTAATTTATTCTTATTTATTTTAAACTACCTTTTTTTTTTACACTTATTGTAGGAAATTTCCTGAGTTTTCTGTGAGGGCCGTTTAACCGATCAATAAATAATTATTCATTTATTCCCTCTGTCCCGCTAACATTGTCTCGGATATCATTCACTTGATCAACACAAATCACTCTTAATCTCTTACTTTATACTCCCTTTGTCCCATTGGACTTTGCCAACTTTCCATTTTTGGTTGTCCCAAAAAATTTTGTCACTTTCTCATTAAAGCAACTAATTCGTGGTTCCGCACATTTCTTTCTTCTCTACACAAATCTCAACCACACAGTTTTTACTATTCTTATTTCTCACCTACTTTGCACTTGGCAAAATCCACCAGGACGGAGGTAGTATATCAAATTTTTATCAAAATTGATTCAGATTTTTGCGACTTTGTAAGGTTTTTAATGTAGTTTTGAATATGTAATTTTTTCTAAAACTCATTTGAGTGCAGTAACTTAGAATATAAACGAGTGACCGGGGCGGATCCAGGATTTCGGAATGCCCTTGGCTGAAAAGTAAATATACTAGGCTTAAAAATTAGTGGGCCGGGGTGGGCTAAATATGAAAAAAAAATTAAAAATTTACACTAAAAATTTGAAAAATTTTAACCTGCCCTAGGTTTCAGCCCACCATAGTCTATACATATATCCTCCCTTGAACGAGACGCACATACACCCTAGTACATGTTTCTCGACGAATCTATTTGTTTTATCGTCGGTCACGCATCGTAAACCGAATTGTCCCAAAAGCAATGGGACATTGGGACGTAGGTAATACTTCTTAAAAACTTGGCAGGACTTACCTTTTGACCATTTTGTTAGGTAGGGATGGGGAACGTCTAGGCCAATTCCCCTTTTGGATTGAGCAAAAGCAATGGATCAAATGGTGAAATTACAAAAAAAAAAAAAATATTTGTACCCACTTTTGTACACATCATGTCTCTGAGGAGTTTTTTTTTTTTGTGAATCTCGCTCAAAGACAAAAATATGTCTATAAAAACATGGTGGGTACAAAAGTAGGTTCAATAATTGACACAAGAAGAAGAGTTGGTGAAATTATTGAGAGTAGTACAGATATGGAAGTGGTAATTTTCGTAATTTGACACTATTGGGGACAAAACGTGAGCAGTGGACCGTCTCGTCTATGCGGAAGGACTGTACCTAGTGGCCCAAATACTGAGGTCTGGTGGTCCATCACTTCATCATCTACACTAAAATGATTCATCTTCAGTCCCACGTTTTTCGTATTTTCTAAAAACGGTTTTACCCCACCGGTTTTCATACCTACGCATACATATCCTTACACACAACATTTTCAAATAAGTTGTCTCGGTATACAGATAAAAAAAAGTCTATATAGATATGAGTGTGTAAGTGTGTGTATGAAAAGTGTGTAACAATAACATTTTTGTTTCAAGTTTCAATCAAAGCAATTCTTAAAATTGTACACAAAATTATTACAGTACATGAATTCTGCACACCAACCTAAACCAATTAAAAGGGAATTTATCCACTTCTCTATTTGTCACAAAATAATTTGTGTACAACAAGAATGACTCTAATGACTCTAAATGGTACCATTAAAAAATACTAGTAGACTCTTATAAAGTGGACCAAAATTTTCTCGTATGGTTACTTACATTTAATTTGATTTCATTTCAATTGACATATATTGTTTGATAAATACTCCCTCCGTCCCCTAACTTTGTCCCGTTTTATTTTTTTTCATTCGTGCTATTAAGTTTGTCACATACCATATTAGGTAATATTTGGGTGGTTAGACCATTTGGAGTGGTGAGGTATTAGGAGTCCAAAATGCTATACGTAGAATTTTTGAACTCCTGATTTTGTGTAGTGGTAGTTTAAAAGGAGTATTAAAAATGGAAGAGGGATGGAAGGTATTAAATATAGAGGATTGGTTAAGAGGGGAGTAAGAAAAAGAAGAGAAAAAAGAACGCAGGTTGCTTTTCTGGTGCGGATGATGTCATGTTGATGTCATCCCTTCATCATAATATCCCAAAAAAATTTAAACTTGTATAATTTTTTTTATTTTTTATCCAAATTTTTCAAAAAGTATATTAAAATTCATAAATTTTTATGATCTTTCATATGACACCAATATGTAATATATAAAAATGATTTGTTTTAAAGTTTTAACTGTTGAAATTTTCTTGAGCCTCGGAAAAACATGAAACACAAATCTCTATTTCATGAAGCCTTCACAAATAATTGAATATTCCATAATCGAACTTTACTTGAATTAAGTTCATATTTTGCTAACCAAACAACATTTAAAAAATTGTTTAAATTTATTTCTTTTTACATCGAAATATGTATTTTTTATTTCATAACTATTCAGCGAAAAATTAAAAGGAAAACATTATTTATAATAATTTAATTAATGTTTTTCTAAGTTGATAGGTTAAAATATATGTTGATTGTATTTTATTGACGGTGCTGGAATGAACGGAATCCATATTTAACAATTTGGCCTCTCAACCACTCCAAATGGTCTTAGAATTTACTATTACTTTATTTACACTTTATACATTTAATACCAATCACATAATTCTACTTTTTCTTAAAAAATCACACTACACCCCTTTGTCCCAAACTTAGGGGGACGGAGGTAGTATATGTTTTTATGTATCTTACAACTATCGGAGTGTGATGCAGTCTGATCTAATCTGATCAGATCTATTAATGTCTGACTTGATATGATCTAGAATTGAAACCTCTAATTAAAAACATCATTCTTCATGTGCCCAATATGGGATCCGATAGATAAACTCCATGGACACTTCCTTAAAAAGTTCAATAAATCGCCATTTAATTGCTGGGAAGTATTGTGGAACATCCTTATCTAATTGCTATACCAATAAATTCTATAAATCGAGTGAAGAGTTTCTGCAGGGCTCTTTCTTCTCAGAAGTGTCCATAGCATTCTTTATTATACTACGTATTCTGTTTGTAGTTTTATTCTAACCAAATGTATTTCTGTGTATTCGCAAATCACATGTCAGTTTGTTGATAAATGTTTAGTTTAATTTTACGCGTCACGTAATGAACAAAATCCTTTTTTATTTTACTTTTGTTTATCAATTTTCATCATACAAGATCACCAAAAAAATCATCATACATGGTCCATGGATGTAGTCTAATACTCTCTATATTCCACACTTAATTTCCAGTTTTGGTTAACATGCCAAAAATACAACAGGAGTACTGTTGAAACAACAAAATCAAATTCAAATATGATAATTTCAATATATAAAAATATAAAATCATATAGTAAGAGTAATTTAAATTGAGCCTATGAAAAGTCTATAATTTCACTAAAAATACAGTTTTAAGCAATTTTGTCAAATGCAAGGCAGAACACATGCCCCAAATTAAATTGCTAATCTAAGATGTTTGCCACGTTTGCATTGAAGAAATAAATTAGGCTTATACTGAAATATGTGATTATGCAATAATGATTATTTTAACACCAAGAGTATAAATTAAGATGTTAAACATTCAACTTCACTCACACTAAATTAAAAATTTATTTATATCTTATTATTCAATCACAATACTGTTTTGTACAGTTTTGTCAAATCGAAAGAAGATCACATTTTTTCAAATTGCTCATCTAAGCACCTCAAAGTCAAATAAAACGACAAACAATAACAATATTTTTCGTTTATTAAAATATTTAAGTATATTTTGTAAACACTTCGTTCATTCATTCATTCAAACTAACATCAGACAAAAAGTTCATGAAAATACCTCCTTTGTCATGTAATGTTTCACTAGTTTTTCCTACTTCCCAACCAAAAGAAACGTTCTTTTACTTTAAGGATATGAATTCATCTTTAAATTCTCTCTCACTTATTTACAGAGATTCTAGCATATTAGTACGTTTTTCACTTCATTATTCTTGTACATCTCAAACACGACAAAGTAAAGAGAACAATTTTATGATTGAGATTTAGAATAAGCTCCCTTTTATTTATTTTAAAAGGTGAGCTTGATTAAATAAAATTGAGTTCGATACTCTATTACTTACAGAGTATTTCATACCCCATATTTAATCTCTGTAGACGAACTATTCATTTGCATCTCACAAGTCAGAACTACAGACCTCTTTTAAATTTTGTAAATTGTAATTATAACTTTAGAGTTTTTTTTATATAAACTAAAATAAAGTGCATGTCTCCCAAAATACTTCGTATTGCTTATTCACCCCCTAAAAGAAAATCTTTACCTAATTTAATTCTTTTCTTCTGAATCAACAAGTCTCGCTTCCTTTGGAAACATAAAGGTTCAAAATAAGGATTTTAGAATCTTCATTTTGATAAATACTACCTTCGTCCCATATTAAACTTCCAATTGCGGGTTACGAAGTTTTACCAGCGATAAAGTTAAATGATCCCTGTGAAAGCTCAGATTATTTTTAGAAAATAAAATTTACATATTCAGAAATTACATCAAACTCGCTACAAAGCCTGCAAAAAATAATTCACTTTTTATAAAATTTTGATATATAAAGTAAGAGTTTAATTGTGATTTAAGTTGACCTTCGAAAACGAAAAGCGAAATGGAAGTTTATTTAGGGACGGAGGGAGTAATTTATATTGTGCTTATAACTGCATTCATAAGAGAAAAATGGGGCAACAAATAGATAATTACCTGGATCTCGATGAGGACGGTAGAGTAGGCGTATGCAAAAGCGATATCGCCAATGGCTTGGAAGCTTCTCCACACCTTCTCTGCCCCGGTCACATCCACCCCCACCACCACTCCGGTTAAGCTAGTCTTTGGATGGTGGTGGCCATGACGCCCATCACCTTAACACGAGTACATTTATTCATTATGACTATTCAAAAGTAAAAATTGTATGATTATGAATTGAATAGAAAAAAAAATTACCATAAAAGGAAAGTGTCAACACTCAACAAATAAAAAGAGAAAACAAGTAAAGTCCATTGAAAAGGAGAGAACATTATTTTTAATAGCTTCATTGTTCTTTAACCTAATTTCGCAAAATATGAAAGCACCAAACAAGAAATGTATTGTTATCGTGATACTATATATATATATATATATATATATATATAGGGTAAGGTTCAAGTGAGAAGAACCCTTTGGGTGAGAAATGAGAATGAATCTCAACCATTGGATTCGACTAAGTTGCAGTAAAAGACACTTCATGATGCACTGAAATATGCAATTTAGCACGGTGGCATTTCTGTAAATACTTCTGAAAAATCCGTATTACACCGTCTAGTGCAACATGAAGCTATTTCGGTGCATCGCCGTCAAATATTAGTGCAACATGAAACAGTTTTAGTGCAACACGTGCAAAATTTAAATATTACTGCAACATAAAGCCAATTTTATTGCAACTTTGTAAATCTAATGGCTGAGATTCATTCTCATTTCTCACATTAGATGATTTCTCACCTGAACCAAAATATATATATATATATATATATATATATATATATATATATATATATATATATATACACACACACACACACACACACACACATCCCTCCGTCTCGCTAAGAACTTCCTACTTGACCTACACACATATTAAAGAAATAAATTTAACTTTACTGTAGAGTACATTGTTTGACACTGTTTAGCTTTGTTTGGTACTGTTTGACACTGTTTTGATGTAGGATAACTTTCCATTTAGGGAAATGAGAACTTCATATTAGAACATCTAAAAAGGGAAAGAAGGAAGATCTTAGCGGGACGGAGGAAGTATATATATAATATAAGTATAAATGTTGCGGATATTTGATCCCATTTTTTAATCATTTGAATCGGATCCTCAAATAGGAGAAGTCAAATGTTCATTAAATTATGGGCATAAAATATTAGAGAAACTTTGTACTTAGAAAGTTAGGTATAAATTCAAAGTACTTTAAATGAGCCGAAAGTGTACGTGCCATTCCAATTATTTGTAGTCTCTTATCAAACATTTATATCCTAAGCCTTTTTGGATGAATTAGGCCTGGTGTATCTCATAAATAATTAATCATAAAAAAATTTAACTTCAGTCTTCCACTATTTCAAAATTGACAATGTTGTAAGTTCATTGCTCATATTTTAAAACATAAGCAAATTATTGTCCTAGCTGGCGTGCTTGTCGCAAATTAATTTTAAGTATTTATTATTATCCGTCCATCCAAGAGACTGCCATGTGATTTGCATTCTTATACCTCATCCATTATTACTTCCAAAATCCGTTCAATTAGACCAGTCATTGCATATAACTGCCAAATTAAGCATTTGTGTCCATAGTTAGTTAAATACGGTACGGGAATTAAACGGGGTTTAATACGTACGTGTTTTATTCGGTAACAAGGGTGAAAAAGACGGTCAAAAATTCGTTGAAAAATACGTTGACTTTTAAAAAACGTGTGAATACGTATACGTGTATAATACGATATATGTTACAAAAGTTCGGACAAAAAATACGCGGTATTATTTTGAACATTCAAAGTATATACTTCACAGAATAAGATATATAGTAAAAACAAATAAAAGTATATACATATTCAAGTAGCATATCTCATTACCACACAAAAGAATAATTTGTAATTTCATAAGTCGATGAAGAAAATAAAAATAGTAATCAAGTCCAAGACATAATTTTGTAAAATAAAGTCAAAAATGAGGAGTAAAAACAATAGAATGAGACTAACTTAAAATCATTGTCTTTATATGATCATCAAATAACACTCAAGTCAAACTCATGATTTTCATCAAGATGGTGAATGACATGAGAAAAGTACGTTGTGCAACTGATACACTTATTATTGTTTGTGTGTAAAAGCTTATACTAAAATATGTTAGGTTTAGAAAAACCTTAATTTTGATATGATATCATCATAATTTTGATCTTGTAGGAAGCTAGCTTTAGTCACCATGCAAATAACTTTAGTGATTAATAATTGCATTGTAACAATACAAGAACATGGGGTTACGAGGAGGAGGTTTCTTTTTTGCTTTTAAGCTATTGTTGATCTCATATGCATTTTATGCACTAATTCAATTGGTTAATTCATGTTTCTAGTTTTTGTAAAATACGGAAAAAATACGTTTTATACGGTAAGTGGGAGTTTTTTTCCTTTTTAAACGGACCGACATTATTTTTCGTTTTAAACGCGTTTTTTTGTTCAAAAAAACGGTACGTGTTTAAAACGCGTTTTAAACGGAAAAAAGCTAACTAGGTTTGTGTCATCTAACGTTAGAATGTACGTATGCTTGTCTTATCTTATGATAACAATGCGACGGACAATCAATAATCATCCCACTGTGCTCAACTTTATGTGTCACTTAGGGAGTGTTTGGCATTGCTTTAAAAAAGCACTTTTCAGCTTTTGGCTTAAAAAAAGTTGAAAAGAGTGTTTTCAAATGACAGCTTCTGCTTAAATTAATCACTTGGAAGCTAAAAGCTGGAAGCAGGTAGAAGGATGCTTTAAACTGCTTCTCACTTTTTCTATTACACAAAAAGTACTTATTTTACCAAACACTACCAACTTTTACTTTTTCAGAATTACTTTTTTCTCAAACACTACCAACTTTTACTATTAATCACTTTTCCCAAAATCACTTTAAAAAATCACTTTTTTAAAGTTGAAGCAATTGCAAACACTCCCTTAATTAGGTCACATAATTAATTATTGTATACATAAGATAGTTTCACCTTATTTTTAGGAAAAAAATATAGTTTATCCTCTTTAGAACTTTACTTATGTTATAGTTCTATTTTGATGAAATTCTAAGGAAAAGGTATAATTGAAAGTTCACACGAACCGGACCTAGTCAAGTCTGATCTATTTAAGTCTGACCTGAGAGAACTGGGTTGCCTTGTAAATGTCTGATCCATGTGTATTTTATAACAAATGAATTCTGGTATGATTTATTTAAGTCTGGTCTGGTATGGTCTGGTCTAGTCTGTTCTGGTCTGTTTAACTCTTGTCTGATCTGTTTAAGTGTGATGATCTAATGTGGGACTAAAAACAATTTAAGTAAAAACATACATGGTTTATTGAAGAATATGGATGGGCATACGAACCTATGATTTTGGCTACGGAGAGGCCGAGACCAATGGTGGAATAAGCGAAGGACATAACAGCGGCCAGGATAGATAGCCATGAGAGCTCGTGGAAGTTGGGAATTTGGCTCAGCAATATTTGGATTACGGCAAAAATGATCATAAATGGGTAGTTTGATATACTGCAATCAGCCTTGTGCCCCAACTTGTGATAACAGTTTGACTTCTTCACCGCCCTGTAAACCATCGGTAATAATAAATCATTAATTCTCTCGATCACTTTTTTCTACATACCATTATTGACCGTTGCATGTATTACTCGTGAACTCAATTAGCCTCTTGATAAAAGAAGCTAAAACGTAGTCTCTAGATAAAATTAGGAATCTTTTTATTCCCGGATAAAAGTAATTACTGTGTCAAAATATTACCACATTTAGAGCCCGTTTGATAATACTCAAATCCAATGTATTGGCCGATTCTGCTGAATTTTATAAGATTAGTGACTGGATTGACTCATTGTGCTGATTTATGAAAAATTATATGTATAATATATTTTATTAATAACATGACAAAAAAATGATACTCTCTTCGTCCCTAAATAAACATCTCACTTTCCTTTTCGGTTTTTCACTTAAAATTGTCTCATTTCCTTATTTGGTAAAAAAAGTTATGCAAAACAATGTCAAACACTGTCGAACAGTGACACACGGTCAAACATTGTCATTTCTTATATTGTGTGAAAGTCAAACAAGACCTTTTAAAATTGGTACAAAATGAGTATGAAAAAAATATCTAAAATGATCATCTCCAGCAAGTTCAACCAATACAAACAGAAAAGTAATTTCAACCTTATTTTTTCTTAATGTTACACAAATCGGCGCGTTAAATCAAAATTTATGTGTTTGATGAGAAAAATGAATGATAAGCCTGATAAGTTGAAAAGCATGGTCACCAAATGAGTTCTTCATTGTTTTACAAAAATTCAGTGCTCCAATCTAGATAAAAATAACACTCCCATTTTAGAACTTGATGCTGTTTTACACTTTTACTCCTATCTCATGCTTTTTCTACATGTGATACTATGTGTTACGGAGTATATTTTAATCCTGTTTGATGGATTTGCTCAAAATATTTGTACTTATCAATTCGAAACGCGCGAGACGTCTAGACAAAATACTACCTAGCCTAGTACATTGTAACTAGATATCTTTTTATAAAGAATTAAAGTTCAATAATATTCAATTTAATATGCTTAGATGATAAGAGAACTCAAAAGGTGAAATAAAGGGACAAGAATATAAGAAGGCCGAATCTTTACTTGGAGTTTATATACTCCTCCGTTTACAAAGAGACGCAAAAAAAAAGGCGTCAATGCGTATCGAATTTGTGGGCGGTGGAGGAAAAGTGCGACTGTAGGAAAATGGATTCTCTTGGGGCGAACACGTAAAGGCGTATCGAATTTGTCAAACTTGTCGAAAGGGACACCCCGTTTTTAGTCAATTACTCCGTAGTAAAAAGAATTTCGTTCATAATGTGGAAAATAGTTCGTTGGTGTGATTGAATTAATTATATATTATCTTAATTATTATGAATAAATAAATACTCTCCGGTTTTTATTAAATTTCGCACTTTCCTTTTTGGGACGGTCTAAAATAAATTTCACACTTCCTTATTTCCTTTTATGGCAAAGAAATCTACATCAAAACAGTGTGACACAGCGTCAAACAGTGTCTCAACACTGTCAAACAGTGTTTCAACAATGCTTAACAGTGTCAAACAGTGCATCAACAGTGTACTCTACAATAAGTCAAATTTCTTTCCTTATTTTGGGTGAAGTCAAAGTGTGAAGTTTAATAAAAACAGGAGGTAGTAAATTCTTACACCATGCTGATGGAAGCGGTAATTGTGTATCCAACAGTAACTCCGACGAGATTAGCATACTGAGCTAGCCCACACAGTGTAACCTTCACCCCTCCTGCAAACAAATTTAATACATTAATTAATTAATAAGATCAAAATTTGCTTATTTATTAATTGTGCATGTTTGCTTATTTTATAACCGAACAATATGCGAAACGTAATTATTAATATCACTTAGTGCTCGATTATTAGGAATCCTATCAGTCGTTGTTCATGTCCTGTCCTTAATAATTATGGTCTCATTAACTACTACGAAGTACAATTAAGAGTAGATTAGGTAATATGTACGAACAATCAATATATCCATTTAAAGAATTACCAGTAAAAAATCGCAGAAGAGAAAACGAGGAGAGTGTGACGCGAAAAACAAACGTTAGAAAAGGCTGTTGAACTGTGTTGATCTACGAGCGGATTCTAAATTGGGTGAGACATAGTTGACGGGTGCCTTAAATCTCTCTTTTATGTAACAAACTTTTGTAAGAGGAATTTCCTTAGGGGAAAATTTGAATAATTATTGTGAAGTTTGAAAAAAAATTATACTCCCTTCATCCCGGAAAATTGTTCCCGCATTGACTTGGAACGGAGTTTAAGAAAGTGGAAATAAAGTGGAAATGTATGATTGTAATTGATTAAGAAAAAGGTAAATGAATTGTAGCAAAAAAAAACTTTCCAAAAGGGGAAAGTGGAACAATTTTTTGGGACGGTCCAAAAAGGAAACCGGGAACAATTTTGCTGAACGGAGAGCGTAATGTTTAAAATTTGATGTCAAGTACTATCAAAACATGACACTAATTAGAAATTTAGAATGTACAAACATTTCCGTAAACTGAATTTAGTCTTATAAATACGGAGTAAGTGTTATACTTCCATTTCTTTAAAAACCAAAGAACATTTTTTTTATCATAAATTTATGCAAAGTACATAAATAAGCAAAATCACTACTCCTTACTTAATGGGAAAATGGAAAACAATTTGGATTACCTAAAAACGAAAATTAGCAAAAGTGGAATGAGAATGAAGTATGGGAGAGAATTAAAATTGAAAAAGAGAATTACTTACCCAAATGAGAACGGACGACGTCCATGTACGTGTAGTTCCGTTTGCCCTCGACGGGGCCCGGAGAGCGGTAACAGTCGGCGAGGAGGGTGGAGGTGAAGTAGGTGATGAAAGAAAACGCCAGTAGTACGGCGGGGCCGACCACCCATCCCAGCTGCGCTATGGCCCACGCCAGCGACAGCACTCCCGACCCTATCACCGCCGTTATGATATGCGCGCTCGCCGTCACCAAAGTCCCTTCATTTATTCCCCCCAAACATCATTAATTACCGCCACCAGTAATAATAATAATTATAGTAATTAAAAAATACCCAGATCGAGATAGGATTATTTATTCTATTAATTACCAGTTCTTTTCTGCCTTCCGTCGTCGTCGAAGTTCTTCCCAACTTCACCCCCTTCAACCGTTCCATGGAGCTGCAAAGCTGCAGTTTTAGGGGCAGCGGCCATTTTACTTTTCTGCCCTTCCCTTGTCTGATTACTCTCTCAAAGATGATCGATCTAAGTACGTAGAATATTAACTAATCAATGGCGGGTTTGGGATACGTTTTAGGGGGAGGAAGGATGCAGATATTTATACACAGAATAAGAAGCAGGTTATGATGATGACTTAGAAAGGGGTGCCAGGGTGGTGGGGTATAAAGCATTAAAATTGTTTTTGGTCTAGGCCGTCGTCAATACGCTGTCATTTTTTTCTACTGCGGTGAATTATGGTCAATGATGAAAGTGTCGAGTTGCGACAAAAGTTGAGGGTGCGTGCCTCGATTCCTTTTTACCCTGATTTGTTGGGTTAAATTGAATCTTTAGAGAACTTTTTTTTTTTGGTAAAATCTTTAGAGAACTTTTTGAAAATGGAATTTGAAGCTAAAAGGTAAATTCTAAATAGAGTATACGTAGTATATTTCTTAGAGGTAAATTCTCCAAATATACTCCGGATATGATTTTCAAAGCTGCTTCTGCTACTTCAGGAGCAGATGCAGAAATTAGAATATTTGGATGAAAGTGTATAAGTGATTATGATTTTTTTTTGAGAATAAAGTGATTATGATTTTTAAAACTGCTTCTGCTACTTCAGGGGCAGATGCAGAAATTAGAGTGTTTGGATGAAAGTGTATAAGTGATTCTGATGCTCTAATTTACTTCTAGAATCAGTTTTTTAAGAAGTTGGGAAGCCCACCTTCTGAAAACTGATTCTTATTCTGTTTGTGTTTTAAAAAAGAAAGGAAAAATTCACATAAATAATCCGAACTATTAGCAGTCTTCTAATATTAATCCCAAATATTGGTAATTCCATTATAATCCCAAGTATGAGGGTCATCTTCAAAACACACCCATGACCTGCAACAACCAAATCAGCAGGTCACCCTGACACGTGTCATGTTTTTATTGGTTTGTATGTATATTCTTGTTTTATCTTTTATATTTTCTTTCTTTGTTTGTTTTTGAACAATCCTCATCTTGCTAAGCCAACGGACCGGAGAAGAAATGTTATGGTCTCAAGCTCTCCACAAAGGAGAAACTGCTGGAGCAACAGAGCAATATCGTCACTTGCAGCAATCGAGCAGTGTTCTTTTCCCAATCTTGCAATTCAAACTCCAGCTTCTTCAATTTCTATATTTTTTTCGTCCAAACAGTTCAATTAATTTATGGAATATAATATATATCCACCATGTATATGTGCAGTGAGCCGGTGAAGTGCATCGGAGCAAGCAGAATACTGGGGAAGGGGCGACAATGAATCAAGACTCAGGAGAAGGGGAGGTGTCGAAGGACCGACATAAACACTATGTGCACAATGACCACAGCCGTTCAAGAAACCTGTGAAAACTCCGCGCCGGCGTCTACTCCGACTGTTGGCGGTGGCTTGACAACTACTAAATTAAATTAATGGCGGATGCTCCTTCGTGTTTCAGAAGAGAAGAGTCAAGAGGAAGACGGATGTGTTGGTGTTCATCGCTGCTCATCCTAGCGGCCTAGCCTGCGGACTGTTGTTCCATTTTCACTTCATGTGCAAAAGCAAGAAGATGGACAGTGTTGCTGTACACCTTTGTTTTTGTTTTTAATTCTTTTTTGTTTCTCTTTTTACCGTCTGAATAGGTCACAGGTAACATAGATCAATTTGGGAAGACTGCCAATGAACTTGGGATTATATTAGAATTATCAATATTTGGGATTAATACGAGAAGACCGCAAATAATTCGGATTATTCATGTGAATTTTTCCAAAAAGAAATGAATTGGTTCCAAACACCTATATAGGGTTTTCTGGAAAATTTATTAATGACCAGATTGGTTGATCACTTGACATGATTCCATGATTGACAAAAGACGAATCATGTGCACTGTCTAATACGGAGTACTTCGTATCTTTCTATTCATAGTCATAATACAAGGTAAAGAAAAACGTATCCTATATAGAGTACATGTTTATAGGTAAATACTCAAATTAAGAATTATAATTGCTTTTTTACATTCATCCATTAAACATTTAAACATCCCCTCCTCATTTTTCGCTCTCCACCTTCTACGATATTCCATCACATGATGTACATGAGTACATCATTCCAATGCACTATCTTTTGTGTAATTTATCTTGATGACAATCATCCATTAATTGCTTTTATGTTTCAAAAGATCGAAACCCCTACAAGTAGGGGTGTGCACAAACCGGTTCAAACCGGAAAACCGGACCGGACCGGACCGAAAAAACCGGAACCGAACCGACCCGGATGATATCCGGTCCGGTTTTCGGTTTTCAAATATTGTAAATCCGGTTTCCGGTCCGGTTCCGGTTAAAAACCGGATTGTTCCGGTTTGAGCCGGATTAAACCGGTTTGCTATATTTTTTAATATATTAATTAATAGTCTTAATATAAAATGGTCATAGAATAATAAAAACTAATGATAGTTATAAAATATAAATAGTAATATTTTTAATATGTAGTATATACTTTCGTAATGTTTTATTCATCTACATATTCTTATTTTCTTGATAATAGAATTAACTAATATTTACTATTCTACCCACAAATTGCTTAAATCTTTGCTCTATAAGACTAATAAAGTAAATAAATAAATAATAGTAGTAATAGTAATACTATTAGTAACAAATACCCCATTTTTATTAAACAAATTAGTTGTATTTTTTAGTATTTTAAATTAATAATTTGGAAACCGGTTCTTTCGGTCTGGTTCCGGTTTTAAACCGGTAAAACCGGTCCGGTTCCGGATCAAAACCGGAACATATCCGGTCCGGTTTTCGGTTTTCATTTTCTTACAAATCCGGTTCCGGTTCCGGTCCGGTTCGGTCCGGTTCGGTCCGGTTTTGAACCGGTGCACACCCCTACCTACAAGCGTCCACTCGATAAAGCATTTGAGAGGTTATAAGTCATAGTGACTTAATCAGTCCGAAAGTGATAAAATGTTCACACATGCGCACCAAAGATCCAGACCAATTTAGTGGTGGAGCCGGTCCGGTCCGACCGGCCCGGCCCGCTACTGTACAGGACCGGCCCGGGAAAGCGGTTCCGAATCCGGGGGTCTAGGCCCAATCCGAAGGGGTAACCGGGGCCGGCCCGGAACCGGTAGACTCCCGGGCCGATTTCGGGACTTACCCAAAATGTTCCAGGCTCGGCCAGGCCTAGGCCCGAACCGGAACCGGACCGGGCCCGGTCCACCACTAGTCCAATTCACTGGGGTTGTAACTAACTTTCACATGGTCAGTCCAAATTTCGATCATTTATCAATGTTCCAACTTTATCACCACTTAACCGGCCACCTGAGTTACTCGTGCAATCGTGCGGGAATCTATTAAAGTCTTCTAGGCTTCTAGCAATCATCCAAAGGTACGTTGTTTCATTAATCGGTTTAATACCGACTAATCCATATATATACTTCATGAATATCAAGATTTATAACTAATTTTTACGTGCACATTGTCAATAAGACTCCACAATATAGTGCACCAAAAGACCGTTTTGAAAATCACTTACATTTTGAAGTACTTTCTATTTTTAAAATGAACCATTTTCTCTATAATGTCTAAACTGAATTACTTACAAACACACACAAACATGTGACTGTTTAGGACATTAGATTATGAAGAGTCCTCCGTTGACGATGAAGGTACAAGCAAACATCACAGATTAGTATGGCCATATTCGTACGGGTACGTAGCTCAACGGTTGATGAGTGGGGTTGTTGGATTGAGATCTCAGGTTCAATTCTCGACAGTGGCAGTGTGAGAGCTTCATATCATACCGTGGCTTGCTCCTCCACCATTCTGTTGAGTCAGGATGTGAGGACGCCTGGAGTGGATGATTCCACCTTTTAGATTGAGATTAGTATGATCATTATTTTGTTCATGTGAGAACTAATGGGTGCTAATTAACAGAGTAACGGTCTATATACCACTGTAGAACGGAAGAAATTTGCCGTGGTGGTGAACAACATATCCGGTGGTTAGTGGCAAAGGAGTTATGGGTTCTAGTTTTTCACCCGTGCGCTGCACGGGTGAAAAAATGTTATTATAAATGTCTTCTGTGTAATAAAATGTTATTATAAATGTTGATATATATATACACACACACAGACACACACAGACTCAATTTTAATCATACTATTTTATCATGAAGAATAACAGAATCGTAAATAAATAAAAAGAATTAGAATCTTAATAAGCAAAAAAATTACAACTTATTGAGCAAGTGGTCCAGCTCATCTATTGTTGATTCATTCTCTCACATGGAAGCTCCCGGGTTCGAAACCTCATTGAAGCAATTTCAACCCTATTTACCCCATGCTCCTCCACCCCCCACCCCCCACCCCCAATCCATTGGGATAAAAAACGTAGACACATTTTGTAGTTTTTCAGATACCCTTCCTCACTGCATATGATGAAATCATGCCACAAGTGGACTTGTTAACTTTGAAATTACAACATAGAATTATTCCCTTATCATGATATAGCAAGAATAACCACTCATGATTGCCTTTGATTCTTGATCATTGTCTAAAATATTTCACATAAAAACAATAAGGCTAATATTGATTTGCAAGAAGTAATTTTCTCTGATCTTTCAAATAAACATGAAAACAAAAGGTGACATCTAGAGTGTAATTGGATAATGTATAGAATCACACATGAGTATTTTTCCTTTGCACATTAATCACACGGATGAATTTCGTAAATATGGTTTTCTTTAGAACCCTATAATAATAAATTGATAATAGGATTCACACATGGTAACTGTGATGATATCATATAATGATAAAAAACGTGAATAATGTTACTGTGTACAGTGTGTAGTTTTAAATTTTAAAATTTTCTTATTTGCACAAAGAAATTATATTAAAAACTGAATACTTTAAATGGTAGTTTTAAATAATAATATGCCAAACTCATATTATTAATTAATAACTTATCAATGAATCATAATTCACTTGCCAAAAAATGAATCATAACTCACAATTTTTATGTATGTTCACTAATAGCAAGGCTCGGGGGCCAAGCCTTATACAAAGTGTTTGGACTGTTTCCTGTTCACCCATGAACTAACTGAAACCAATAATCATTCAAGACGTACACAATCAAAGAACTTTGATGGAAGTCAGAA